CCCAAAGATGGACACACTTCTCAGTCAGCTTCCTTAGGAAGAAGCCCCGGTTATAGAGGAAAGAACTTCCCCAATGAGGCTGCTCTAAGTACTGGCATGAGTCATGGTCCAAGGACTTAAAAGACTGAACATGGGGGATGGAGAGATGGCTCAGTGCTTATGAGTACTTGCTGCTCTCCCAAAGGACCTAGGTTTGATTTCCAGCACCTACATGGTGGTTCACAAGCAGCTGTGATCCAGTCCTAGGGGATCTGATGTCCTCTTCTGGCCTCCACAAACATCAGACACATGTTGTACACGGACATGTTGTACACACACACACGCAGGGAAAACACATACATTAAAAAAAAACCTAAGAGAGAAATAATGAGGGGGTGAAGAACATGGCTACCAGTGCAGGTCACTGACTACTCAGGTGAAAACAGCCTGAGGTGCTTTTAGGGAGGAATCAAAGTAGGGGCCCTTGTCTTGGGAGTTTCTTTTAAGAGACGGAGATCTGCCACTGACAGAGATGTAACTGCAGTTACCCTGCCCCCTCCACTAGCCTACCTGCCGCAGCGAGTTAAGAAATCTATTCTAACATTGAGCTCCCAGATCCAGAAGTAATCAGGCACTTTATCTGTTCCCTTAACATGGCCTGCATACTGGACCATGCTTTGCTTCCTTTTTTTTTTTTAAACAGTGTCTCTCCATGCAGGCCAGGTTGGCCTCAAAGTTGTGAGGAGTTCTGCTTTCCTCAGCTTCCCATTCTAGGATTACAGCAATGTGCCACTATACCCAGCTTAGCATTTTAAATATTTTGTAAATTAACTTTTTTGTGTATGGATGTTTGGCCTGTATGTATGTCTGTACATCGTGAATATGCTTGATGTCCATGGAGGCCGAAAGAGGGTGCTGTATCTTGGAAGTACAGTTTCAGATGGTAGATCCACCATGTAGATACAGGAATCAAACCTTGGTCCTCTGGAAGATCAGCCAGTGCTCTTAACTGATGAACAATCTCTTCAGCTCCTATTTTTCTGGTTGTTGTAGTTTATCATTAATGGATTATAATTACTTCACAGGTAAGGATAAGCAAGGCTGACCATTGAGGGGACGCATACCCTAGTGACATCTGACTGTATGGATAACAAACAGATCAAGACCAGCTCACAGTGGTACTGACAGCTGGTGGCCACTGGGATGGGGTGGAAAAGCTCCAAGTTCCAGAGCAGGATTTAACTTGGACCTTGGAGTATGGTCTATGAAGCCGCTGAGAAAGCCTCAGTTTTCATCATATTCTTAAACCTAAGTCTTCAAAAGAAAGTTCATACATTAGTGTGAGTCATATCACCTGAAGGACGCCAGTGGCAGAGGTCCTCATTTGGTAGGTCTGAAGTGAGGCCCAAGAATTTGTATTGCCAACAGTTTCTGAGGGGACACTAATGCTCTTGATCGAGGGTCATGATTTAAGAAGCACTGGTTTAGGGGCTGGGGAGATGGTTCAGAGGTTAAGAGCACTGGTTGCTCTTCCAGAGATCCTGAGTTTAATTCCCAGAAACCACATGGCAGCTCACTACCACCTATAATGTGATCTGGTGCCCTCTTCTGATGTGCAGGCATACATGCAGGCAGCACAGTGTATATAAAATAAATAAATATAAATAAGTCTTAAAAGAACTGGTTTAAAGGATACCAAAAACTATAGGGGTCCTAAGTTTAAATTATGGTCTTTTTTCCACAGCCTTAAGTTCCAAAGAATTTATTTTTGGGAGAAGCCTCTGGGGAGAGAGAGACAGACTGGATCTCCTCTTGGAGGTCAGGAAACATCTGGCAAAAAGCATTTTAAAGGGTACAGGAAAATGCCTCCAAGAATTAAAAATCCCAAGCAAAACTCTCGAGTGGGAGATGATGAGGATGGCTTCAGCTGATCCAATTACTGGGCCAACTGCTGGTGCACGCGGGGTGCTGGGGCTCTGGGCAGAACGGAGCCTCTCTGCAGACTTACTGTTACTATTGTTGGGCTTCTATCTGAGTCCACATTGGCCCAGACGGGAGGTCTGCTCCACTGAAGAAGGGGTGTTTGCTGGGGGGCGAGGGTGGTTGGAATCTGGGGAAATGGAGAAGAAACACAATTCAACGAGACAGAGTTCAAGAGCCTAATTCACAGGATCCGTGGTTGAGGTCACTGTGGTGAGAGTGTTAAGAGGAGAAATAGTGCTTAAGGCTATACTCACTTTAAGCAAACACAGTAGAAAGAGGCCTGGAAGGGCCATCTGCCAGCTTCCTTTAGACCTGCTCCAAGTTAAATCTCTCCCCCACCATGAACGGGAGGGAGAAGTGAAAACGTGTATTCATTCATGAATTAGCTGAGTCTCAGAACAGGAAATGTGGCTCTGAACTATGCAAAGGGATCTCTTTTGTAAGGAGTACACTAGCTTTACTACCTAGCTGAATAGGTGAAGTGAGGTAATGTCGGAGTCAGAGGGTGCTGAGACAGAACCATCACGGGAAGGCATTATCGTAGAGGGCTGAGACTACAGATGTGCTCTGACTTCAGCGTGCCTGGGCTTGGGATTCCGACAGTGGAACGAACCTTAGAGAGGTTAATCATCCCATGCCGTAGTGAGTAAACTGGAGGTAGTAAGAGCGTTTCTGTCTTAAATGGGCTGTAGTAAGAATGAAATAAAATAACCTAGGTAAAACACTTTCTTAATACCTGATTTTAAACATTCAATACTTAAATTGTAAAAGGTTGTGAGTCTTGGAAAAATACAGGACAGCAATTACACAGCTATCACCAGAGACAAAACGGACAGCTAGGTTGGCGCTGCTGCCAATCTCCTGTGGCGACTGGCAGACACTTGTGGTATGAGTTGAACAGTATGGAAGAATCAGGCTGCCTAAGATGAGAGTTTTAAGAGGACAATCCTGCTGGCTCTAACATGGGGATATCTCGCTTGTATACACTGGAACGTTCAGAGTCTCTTTTGTGACGCTCTCACTGACAATCTAAGTACAAACAGTCTGATGTGAACAAATCAAAGTGAGTAAAATTAGCATTGGTAGGAAAGCCGAACTAATGCTAATGGGAATAACGGGAACACTCTGGAAATTTATAATACTAAGGAGGGGTCCTATTTTCAGGGGATATATACAGCTCCTGAGGTTCTCAGAGTAAGGAGGAGGTGTTTGAACCCAGGCAGAACTGGAAGTCAGGTGCTACAGAGAGATTTCCTTCCTTTGATCTCAAGGGAGCAGAAACTCCTCTAAAACCTCATATACTAGATCAAAAAGTCCTGTCAAATCTTAGATACCCGAAGATATGTGTGTGTATGCACTCGAACATGATGTGTATGTGCGCGCGTGTTTGTTACTGGAACTAAGAACAAAGACATTGCTTAAAAAACATGCAAAAGAGACAAAATAAGTTATAACTGCATGGAAAAGGAAAAATGTACAGCCTCTGCAAGCAGGGAGTGGAAAAAGACTGCCAATTGTATTATGTTATTCTGGGTTCCTTTCTTAAGAGGTCTCCAAGCCATCCAGGCCTTGACTTGCAGTTCATCCTATCCCAAGACTGGGAGATAACCCAGCAGGACTGCAATGGGACCTTACCTCAGTCTCTTGCTCTTCAAACTGACTTCTGGGCATACTTACCATGGTCCCAAAAGGGTCTTAGAAGATCCCTAAGATTAGAAGACACGGGATAATGAGCAAGGGGCCTGACTTCTGGGTTTTCACCCCCTGTACATATTGGGAGCAGGTTCTGCCTACAGCCTTCTTGCTCCTCTTAGGAAGGGATCGGGGATTTTACCTGATCCTCCCCTCCTCTCTCTCAGGAGAGAAGGGCATGTTTTTTTGTTTTTTGTTTGTTTGTTTTTTTTTTAAAGTACTCCGCCTGTTTTTTGTGTGTCCCGTAAAGCCATAGGCAACGGCAGAACCAGAAGAAACTAATTTTTTAGTCTGAAAACCACGGAACTGTAATAATAACTACTCAGGAGACCAAGGCACAAGAATCACAAGTTGAAGACCTGTCTGGGCTGTGTGAGGTCTGGTTTGTCTGTCTGACCTCAAGGTTAGTCTGTACAACTTAGCGGCCTTATCTCAAAGTGTTGTTGTTGTCGTTTTTTAAGGGCTGGGATATAGCTTAGTGGCGAAATGCTTGCCTAGCGTATGAAAGAACATCCTAGGTTTGGTCCCCAGTAACACACACACACACACACACACACACATTCTTAGGCATCCCATCTATCTTTTCCAAACAGTGGCACCCTCAGCTTTAGATTTTCATAAAAGTTTCATTATTTTTATGAGGTGTGGTTGTCACGTGTGGAATTTCAAATTCTAATTTCTAAAACCAAGGACATATACCCATAAGGCTCCTGAAGCCTTTGTTTAATTTTACTCAGAGCTCAAAATTGAGGTGGTTCTCCGTGGTAAGAGCATCTAATCTTCTAGACTGTCCCAATCAAAGTATCCTGGGATTCACTCCTGCACTCTGTTTTCGTGGCTTTATTCCACACCACAGAACAGAACAGCAGTTTGAAAAGGCCCTTACTTCAAGGCTCAACTCTTCATCTTGTATCACAGACTCTTGTAACTCATACAGGACCCCAAACCAGCTTCAAACTTAAGATCTGAAACAAAAAAGGCTTCCCTGGGACAGGAGCAGGGTTTGGGGGAGTTCTCTCTTCTTTGTGGTGTGTCAGCTTGGCTAACTATCACAGTACCAGGTAAGTTATTAAAAGCTGACCCAATAAGCCACAGGAGTCTATTCACACGCAAAAATCTTGTAACGAAATAAATTTGTTTTAAAATAAAATAGAAAATGGGGTTTTCCTGTGTGAGAGAACACATTTAATGTCTGCAAACAATTGATGGTGAGCAGCAGGCAAACAGTCTACCTGCTATAAGGTCCTGGAGATGTCTCCACTGACCAAAACCCAAAGTAAAACAAAACAAATGGGCCAACCAGATCCCTCCCCCACAAAATCACTGAAACAAAAGACTGATGATCTGTTTATGTAGTCACATGAAAAATAAACATCTTTATTTTTTGCCTACTTTATTTCATTTTTTTCAAATAAAATTTAAATCTGTACAAAGTATACTGTTACAGTATATATTTTGTAAGAATCAATGCCTAAAAGAATCACAATACTTCAATAAGCAGTACAGCAGACCTCGCTAGCTTCAGCTTTGATATTGAACAAACTCAAGCCGGCTGATGCACAACACGGTTGCTTGGTTTCCACATGGTGAGTTCCCAGCACTGAGATGGGAGAACATGACAGCAAATATGGTTATATTACAGCCCAACACACTGCGCTTCTTCATATGATAACTGCACATATTTAACACAGAATGCTCAAATTTACGTTTTAAATTGCATTTGCTTACTTTTTAGTTGGCAAAATTCAGCATTCTTAAATGGGGTCCCCAAACAGTGCAAATTAATGATATTCTATTGTATATTGGCACAACTCCAATAAGGATTAACTTGTAAACTCAAAAGAATATCAAGAACTTAGCCCTAGATTTTAACTAATATACACCTGGTCCATTTAACCAAAGTCATTTTGGAAAGATAGTAAAGAGCAACTCTATTTCTGAAAGGATATTGTTTTGACCATTCTTTAGAGAAGATAATTTAAATTGTCATTAAAATGTTTTACTATAAAAATTTTACAAACTTGATTAGAAATTTCAAGGTGATTCACAGCAGACAAAAACAAACTGTTTATATTCCAACAACACCAAGGCTTAGACTTTCAAGCAGAGCACGACCGTGTCAGCTGTGTTAACTGAAACTGGACAGTGTACTAAGTTTATAAGTGGTGCTGGGTCTAGCAAGTGTAAATACACAGTATATTTCAATGAAAAGAATTGTCTTCTTTATACTTTATTTGTTTTCCCATAAGGAAACATTAATGTTTACATTCTTTAATAAAGTTAATCTTACATCAGAATATAACTTAATACTGTCAGCAACAGGGACCACACACAGTAAATAAGAAGCACATTTAAAATAAGTCTGATTTCACATAGATTAACATTTGTTGGTTAATAAAATATCGACAGTATTACAATCTTACAATATTTACAGTAAGAAAAATCTAGAGTAATATATACCTTTCACAGCAGGATTCCTTTTTAAGTTTTTCCAGTTTGGGATTGTGTGTACACAAAAGCTCAAAATAAAGCAACTCTGAATGTAATCTTAAAGTAATGGCTACAGGGGGACTCTATCATGGCCATTGAAAATAATGATGACTTCTCACGGAGTCTGAGGCATCTGAGAACCCAGTTAATTTACCAAAGACCTGCTCAACCCAGCCTTAGTTACCCAGATTAAAGCTGCAGAACTCCGGCCTTCCCCAACTGCTGAAAACCCAACAGACTTTCTCATCATGCTATAAGAAAAGAGGGGGAATTAGTTTCAGCTCATAACTTTATGGTTGGAGGCTTCCAACCAGTGCACATTCCCTAACATATGCCAAAAGAGGGGAGGTTTCATGCCCAAGCATCACAAGAGTCCACCCTCCAAGTACAGGGCATCCTGATACCAAGCTCCGTCATTCTTCAACTCTTGTGTATTAAGATAAGGCATGAACCTGGCCCATTTAATACCAGTATCTTGGAGACTTGGGACTGGGACAAAAGAACAGACTCGTGTAGTTTGCACTGAGAGCAATAGGAAAAATGGGACGTGATGCACATTTCCAATTAGAATGACAAGAAGACCCACATCCCTAAACTGGAATTTGGCCAGGGCATCAGAGTTAGCACCCCCTCTCTGAGTACCACGAACAATTAGGATGTGTGCTCTGGGCCTCCTCTTGGAGAGCATCTACTGTAAGTAACGCAGTGTGGGACATTAGTTCAATGACTCCCGAGAAAGCAGATACAATTCTTGAATCTGGGGCTCTGATCTGAGGTCAATCCTCAGAGCTGTGACCTGTCCCAACTCTGCTTACTTCACGTTATCTGATGGGCACAGAGCACTCAGGGATACGGCTGCTGGCTGCTTTTGACTCTAGATCTTACAGGTAATCAACAGGTATCTGGGATTGAATTAGCAAACTGTACCATGGCTCCTTAAACAGACACTGTCAGGTCTGAAATCATGTCAAGCATGAATCTTTGCTGTCAGGTCAGAAACCAAAGTGGGAGTGTTCCCACATCAGCCAAGGTTATTTTGTCAAAACCTTAGAGGAGTTGGACGGTTTTTCAGTTTGCAAGTGATTGGTTACTTATTCAGTCAAGCTGGATTGGCAAACCAGACTGAACTATTTAGTTTTGTGTTTTGATTCTTACATTGTGCTAACCCAAAGCTGTTGCATTTGGGCTAAATACACTGACAGAGAAAATTCAAACAAAAGTTTCAGCAAACTTCTGCGGCATTTTCTTTTTGGAAGTCAATGCAAGATCGAAAGGTATTTCTACCCAACAAAGTCTGTTTAAGTGTGTAATGTTTCTTCCTTTTGGTCCTATACAGAATGCTATGACTTCTATATAGGTCTGAATGCTGCCCCGTGTAGATTCCTTCTGTATATCTAAAAATATATACTTTTCAGTAGTTCAATACATGGTTAATCTTCCCACAGAGGAAGATTTTTGTAATCACATGTTGCAAAGTAGAAAAACATCTCCTTTCTAAGAAAGGAAATACACTTTTTCTATTGTACACTTTTGAATAAGCCCAAAGGCATGCACCAAAAATCATTATTAAACTAATACATGCACTAAAATGGTGTGGAATTAGACTTAAAGTGCTGCTTCTTGATTTCTAAATTTGAAGACATCTGTCAGTTGTTGTGTCAAAGTCCTCCCCACCCCCACCCCATGGTACCAAGAGAAAAAAGTAAAAAGTATGCATAAATCTTTTAGACTAGTCTTTACATGTGGGAGAGATGGATATATCAACTATCCTATATGTAAACTGGACTCCCAGTTTTAAATAAAAGCAGTTATTTACTGGTAAAAATTGTCAAAGCTAATACACCCAAACAAATGTTACTAGTAAATAATGTTCTACATAGAGAATAATTTACTTTGGTTTTATGCACCTTCTCAAAAATAATACTAGTGTCCCATACTTCACCAAACTGATGTGTTCCAGCAAAGTTGTAAGGCAACTTATTTTTCCCTAGTGCCATCTTTTTTTCCCCCAACAGACAAAACTAAAATCTTTTGGTGAGGAAGGGGTTAAGATAATGGCTAACCCCTTGGCATCCTGAGCATTGTGGTTTATCAAACTCTACCCTGCTAAACTTGTCAGGCACCTTGCCCCCTACCTTGAACCAGGAATGGCTCCCATATCTGGAGATGACCTGACTCCTTATAAATAGCTCGCAGAACTTTACTTCTCTTTCCCTTCTATCTGGATGTTATAAAGTCTAACAAAGCTAATTGCAATGTCACATTTCACTAGTAGGGGCCACCATGTGATGATAATAATTCCAATCTGAAATGTTTTAAGCCAATAGCTCCTAATTTTATCAGTTATTTGTATAATAATTTTCTATACAGTTTGCTCAGAGCAAAATTTTCTAACTTGGGTTTCAAAAGGTAAGTGATGACCCTGAGGTTGTAGCAAAATTATCTGTACTATGTGCATTTTTCCCCAAGGAGAGGGTCCATCACTTTAATCAGATATTCAAAGGTATTTGTGACACCCCCCCCCAAAAAAAAAGCACTACAGGGACAAAGGAGGGATACCCGTAATTCACTGTACAATAGGACTGGGAAGTGGAGGCACACAACAAAAATTGCCTTGGGCGGGTGTTGCTGATCTTTCCCTTTATTTATATTTGGGAAATAAGTGACTCAAAAGTAGGAAAATGAATTAATTAGGCTAGTTAAACGCCATTAAAAAAATAAAGCCACTTGCTACAATTTTCTCACTTCCATATATGGTAAATTTAGCCTCCAAAAAAAGGTATAAAGACTGAATTTTTTCTTTTCCTAAGAAATTCACAGATATAATGCTGAATGTCATCCACATTTAAAGAGCTAAGGCCATCAAATGTAGGTAACTCTAATGATGTGAGCCTTTCACTTGTAGTTTGTAGTTTTGAGTACAGAATTATCTAGAGTCAAATCCACATTTGTCAATTTTCATTTCCAAAATTGGTCCACACTTAGACAACTACCTGGCACAATTCCTGTACATAAACCTAAGATCTGGAGAATGGTTAAACTTTCCACTGAAATTAAAAACATGGCTACAGGCTCCACAACCATGCCTCATCATGGAATCTAGCCACAAACATCCACACCATGTTGTAGAAGACATTCTCATTTCATATATATCACTGAATTTTCAACAGAATTCGCAAACATTATGAGCCACAATGACCAGCAGAACATGTCAAGATCAACACCCCCATCCAGAAAACATCCAGACCTTCCAAAATAACCAGATCTGAAAAGAGGCCTCTTACTTGCTGGTTTTAAGTATGAAATGTGTAAAAAGCTACAGGGAAGGAATAAAAAATGAGATTATTAAGTAACTTATAAAAACAATTCCAGCCAAAAATACATCTCTCTGTTCCATTGAGAAAACTCGTTTTCCTTTTCTTTTTACTGAATACAGCATCACACATTCAGAGGTACATTCTTTGTTCTCTGTTCTCTGTGTAGAACACATCAAGGAAGCTATAAGACTGACTCTGGTTAAATGAAAGTCCTGTATCCTTTGCTGTCACCATTCCTCAAAAAGATGTCAATCTTAAATTCTCAAAAGGAACAGTCATTTCATGTAATACCAGTTATGTGACATAAACCATAAAGAAACTATATGAACTTTATGGAAAGCTACATAAAAGAGGGAACTGCCACCTACTGTACTTTCAGTTTCTTAAGCATGTGCCCCAAGTAAGACTCGGATATCATTGACTATGAAAATATATCAACACTCCAAAGTCAGGCCATACCAGGCTGGAAGTTGGATCTCAAAGACACAATTTCATATCCATTGACATAGTTCCTATCCTAAGCTTTTACTTTATTTAAACCGTTTAATAAAACTCACAGTTATGAATAATTTTATGGGCAAATAAAGAAAAAATTATCAAAACAAATTTTACTGTTTCATAGCTAACATTATTAAATATTTTCCTGGCCTTATAAAGCGTATGTAATTGCATATGAGTTTAACTTTGGGTGGGATATTGAAAGCAATTTTGCAAAAAATTAGAAGAGAATAGAAACAAAAGTGAAAGTGACTAGTCTTTAATATCCAAAAACTTAAGTGCAAAGATAAATAGTGCAACAATGAAAATTATAATTTTATAGGCCACTTTTACACAGTCTTTTCTGCTTTTGCACTTTCCTACATTATTATCAAACCCTAACAACTGTATGCAGCATAGAAATGGGCTATCGTTTATCTCCATTGCCTAGACGCAAAGAAACCTTTCATACTCAGTCATTTAAAGCACTGGTTCTTCACTTCTTTTAAACAATTCCTAAGGGAGGAGCTACTTAAGAAGGCTCTGCACAGACTTAAACTAGAGTATGTTACCTATAATTTAAAATCTGACACACAATAAAATGAGAAAATTATACTAAGTGCCAGCTCTGCAAAATAAGTTATGTAGAAAATTACTCCACTATTGTTAATGAACTTGACACTTGAGAAAAGAATAAACACCTTCCAAGGACAGATCAAGACTTCCTTTTTGGCTATTTTAAAACAAATTCTTAACAGGAATGTATAGGTATCTGATTAAAATGAAACTTGAAAGTAATGTGTCAAAATTTCTAAGAATAAACGTATAGCAAATTTACAGTCAACCTGAACTCAAATTATACAACTTTTAAAACAAATATTTACCTTAAATAATTTAAAACACTGCTGGGATTATAGAGCAGATAACTAATCACTGTCAGTTCACCTTACAAAGAACACAAGAACCTGGGAGATAGATTAAATTATAATTAACATCTGTCTACATCAACTACAGGGAATTCTACAATGTTAAAGTAGGAAAACAAATAGAAATATGAGTTCAGGGGATATGTTGTCTAATTCTGTAAATTTATTATTGAGGGTTTCTTAAGGTCCACAATGTTAGACGGCTGCTAGGACTACAAATGTAAAGGAAGTAGAAAAGATACTTTAAAATAGCAATTTAGTGACCGTATCTGGTTTACTGTTTTCTAAAAAGTGCATATTGACCAAAAGCTAAAGTGTCTATAAAGAAAGGATCTTTGGGTGTGGATTTTTGTGGATTATAAGGATCATTTTAAAATGAAAACATATGCTACATTGTGACAAGAGTCCTAAAATAGTAGATGACAAATTTCACTGATAATTTAAAAAAATAGTAAATGAAAAAGGGTGAATTGTTATCTTTTTCTCCCAAAATAGTACGTTTCCAACACCAATCTGTCTTGACCAGAAGAGCTGCCATTTCATAACTGTGCTACTTAAATTTGCTCAGAGCAGACATACCATAAACCTTCAAACCACCATACACACACACCAAAACTGATTTGTATCATCCATCATCATCACCATAAATAGCTACAATCAGTTTTCTCTTAGCCAACAAGGGGCCCACTCACACTTCCTTAGTGAAGCTCAACCTCACTGTTCTTAGTCAACACTTCCCATTCAGAGTTCATCTTAGTACTTTTTTCTGTGGCCAATAAAAAATTCCTCTTACGTTACTTCCCATCATTCTCTTCTGTATCTCTCACACCCCCATTCATAAACAAACAGCTTTATCCTTTCTGCTCTCCAATTTCCAAACCAGTAAGTGTCAGTTCTCTGTAACTTAAACACACTTCTTACACTCTCCATTTCCCAGATTTGCTAACAAGCACTCATTTAGATGCTCTTCAAATTAAGACTATGGGAAAAACAGCCATCAGGGGGAGAAAAAGGCCAAATTACTTCAAAATAGAGAAATCTTTCTGGCTCATCACTTAGCTATGTTCAAAGAAAAGAGTCATTATTTCACTTCTTTCTGAAGGAGGGGAGTTCAGATGCCATGAGCAGGATCATAAAGAAAGGAGAATGGAGGAGTCAAGTTGCCAGATGTACTTTTGCAAGGAGGTCAAGAGCTACCAACAACTAACTGCACTGCCAACTGTCAATCCATTTCAGCAGAGTATGACTTAACATCAGTGAGCGTAAATCATTACCTGATTGTTATTACTGTCTGAGCTACTCAAGCGAGTGTCACCTGTCCTGTAACTTTTAACTGTCACTTAAATCCTCCTAGAAGCCTTTCACAGTAATACATCTTAGACCCAAATACACACCAGCAAGAATATTTCCACAATTCCAACACACAAGTGTGTGATCTTTAACCTTACAGGCCTTCTAAATTACTAAAGTGGATCCTAAACCAAGAAAATTAAAACTCATTAGTTTAATTTCCCCCACGAAATGCTAAAAAATGTAATTACTATGCAAATTAATAATAAAAACAAAATGTGTATTCATGGAAGCACAAAAATATTATGATTCCAAGAACAATAAAATATTTTATACAAAAGATTGCCACCACAATTCTACAACTATCCACAGTACAATTTTTCACAAAATCTAGACAACAGAAGGAAGGGAGGAAAAAAGGGAGGGAGAAGATATCAAATGTAATGAAAAGGAGACATAAAACGTAACATGAAGGCAAAAATGGAATAGCTATAAAATTCTTACAAAAAAAAAAAACCATCAAGAGGCTATTTTCCATATTCAACTTTTCTGACAATGTAAGTTGCCTAGACCCTCAAAATCTGGTAGTCAGTTTGTAGATGGAGGATGGCAAACTGCTTAGAACCAGCCACATTTCTTATATTTCATCTGCTTGTTCTTTAATCTTAAAGTTCTACTAATGCTAATTTAGACTGTGCTGATGCTAGTTTAGATCATTACGTAGCCTGTAACAATGAAATTTCTGCTCAAAAAGAGCCTGTCAAATAGCCAAGGCCTTAAATTTAGGTTTGGTTTCATAAATCTTTAAGTCAGCTTTTCTCAAGAAATGCACGCCAACTCTGTAGAGCTATATGGTAGCTAATGCTGCTGGATAAACAGTCATTTTAAGCAGTGATCACTTTAGTTTTATAGTTACTATGAATGGCCTACTTTTGGCTTACAATGAAGAAAACAATGTTTTAAATTTTGATAAAGTTTAAAGCAAACTCATAAAACTAGTAAATTTGCTTAAGCAATTAAAAAGATCTCTTATTGTATTCCATAACGAATCATGAACTCTAAGTTAGCGATACTCGAATTTAGAGATAGCAACATAAGTGTTATACTCCCACTGTTTCGGATCTAAAGTGCAGAAGACGTCCCTGTCTTAGCTTTCCTTCACACAGTAAACAAAACTTCAATGATATCCAAGAAACAACAAAAAAGGGGAAAACTGATTTTCTATTTCACTTTTTATGAGGAAAGAAATATTAAAACTACACTTTTGTGTTAAAAAAAAAAAAAACCACAACAAACTGTGGAGCTATGAAAGCTACCCAAGTAATTTCAGGAATCCCCATTCTAAATCATCTGTGTATGTACGTTATCAGCGTCTAACATGAAAAAAAAAAAAAAGCTAATGGAAATACTGGAAAAGAGAAGGTAAGCTATGTAAAGATAAAAATAATTCCACACCCATGATGGGGTCACCATGGCTGGCAGATTAACCCAAATTTTTGTGAGAGAAAACTGTGTTAACACAGTTTAAAAAGTTTCAACATTGCCAAACACAAAATGTTAACGCGACGAAACAAAACTATGATAATTTCTCCAAACATCAAGTTCCATTTAAAAAAATCAGGAAGAAAAAAGATGACATTATATCTTTTCCTAAGATCTAAATCTTAACCCATGTAAGGATATTATGAAGTGCTTGGGCCACCAAACCCACCCAGATTCTTCTAACAGATTTATCTTTTTTCCCTCCCTTCCACCCAAATCTAGCTCCATTTTCCTGCAGAAAAAGGTACGAATTCCTACATTGATAAGAACAAGAAATGAAACAGTGAGTACAACTGATAGAGATCCATTGACTTTTATTACAAATGTACTTGATCACTTGGCTTCAAAAAGTTTAAAATCAATTCCCTAATATCTGTATGCCAGTACAAAGCAAACTGTTTTTTACAAATTAAATACCTAAAAACTTGACAAAAATATTAAAATTTGATGAAAAACAATTATAAAAATTCTTAATCTCTCTCTTCAAAAAAAGGAGGCAGTCTTTCCAGACCTATCATACAATGTTAATAGTACTCAGCATTTTAGAACAGGTAGCTAAATTATATCGTTTATGTCAACGTTAAAAAAAAAAACTCTTAAACTAATAGATTTTATTTGTATATGCTCCAGTTAAGTTTGTGAATGCCATCTGATTGCAATATAATCAACTCTCTTTAATTGAATTCTAATTTACACCTATTTAATAATTTGCATAGCTCAAAAGGGATAAAGGTTATTCTATGACTAATTAACATAAACTATTACAGTGCTATTCTCAAGGCAATAAGTATTTGCTCCCAAATAAAATTATCTGTCTCCTTTCAGCAGGGGTTAAAATCACTAGCAGCTTTCTCCATTACCTGAAAAAAAAAAAAAAATCAAACTGGAATAGTTCTCCATCTCTAGACGTAAAGGCTTAAAAACAAAAATTGACAGACTTTCCATTTTGAGTCAAATTTTAACCCCTGCACGGGACTAGAAAGTGAGACTTTCAAGGTCTCTTAAATTTCCCATTGGTTTTGGTTTCTATTTTCCATGGCTTTTGAGAAGCTGGAAAAGTTTGTCTTTCCTGACTACTTTGTCTTTTTTTCTCATTTGGCAAATATTCATACACCTCCAATGTGTGTCTAGTGGAGGAAAAGCCAACATGGCTTTCCTATGAACTTCCTTTGTTGTCAAAGGCATATATAATTTCTACGGTTCTGGCTAGTTAACTCTAGCTCCCTCTGTGGCTGGATGACTGCTGCTTCTAACATCAGCATGATAAATAGGCACAAATAAAAGGTAGCTTTAAAATAAGATTTGGTGATTTAAAAGGGGAGAAAAAGCCACAAATACCATCACCATTACCACAACCAACACACTCTCTCTTTCTCTCTCTCTTCAAATCTGGTAGCTGATCTCTAGATAAAATTACTTGACAGTGTCTCTCATTTTAAAGAACATCAATATTTCAATGCATTTCAAGTTTTCTTTTTTTTTTTTTTTACTTAGGCAAATAACATAGTTTAACCAAGCTCTTGGACCTTAATTGTAAGACAAAGCAGATCAATAAAAATAAGGCATACTTGTCATGAATTAAGTTCTGTTTGCTTGTTTTTGGCACATTTGATCATACTGTCTTCTATGAGTAACACATATGGTCAAATATACCCTCCCCCCTTTTCAGCACAAACTGGGGCTACCCACTAGTAAAATAAAAACAAGAAGAGACTCCAACAGAATACACTGAAATATAGAACCTTGGTAAAGTACCGAGCACCTGGGAGGGGAAATGTAGGGGAAGGATGAAACAGGAGAAAGGGAAGGGGAGGTTAGGAGGTCAATGGGGAGAGAAAGTGAGATGCTTTAAACAAAAAGAGCATCTTTACAGTCACTCAGTCTTCTCTATGACCACTTTTTAAGTCTTAAAAGATCTGCATGTGGATTTCTTTTTAAACCCAACGACCATAAATCAGGCAATGGATTCAAAGTCCTAGTAAGATTGTGTTTAACTGTCATAGTGTAAAGACAACTGCACAACACATGTGCTTCTTGATCTGGTAGGATTCCAAGCAGAATCTGAAGTCTATAGGTAAGAAAGGTTCACTTTAGGTAGCTGACCCTAAAGAAAACCTCAGGAAAGAACTTGCATCTCAAAGAAAGGACACTTTGCCTAAGTTTGCTGTGTTTTTGTTGACTTGCACTACTGACTGCTGGCTACTATGAAACACTGATCTAGGAGTACTCCAACAACTTGTAGCACAAGGCTTAACTTTAAAGAGCTATAGTAAACAAGAGACAAAATCAAAGCAATTCTCTTTCCTAATTAGAAACAGCACGGAGAATGCAATCTTTTTCCATATCACAGTTAAAGTACAGTGAACAAAACAGCTCAACAAACCTTAAGACAAAAAGTGCAGGTTATTAATGTTTACATGCAGTTGATAAGCATTCCAAATGTCACATTATGCACTGTAAAAGCTCAACTTTACTATATGAAAATAATAAAAAATGCACCTTGGGGGAGGGGAAAAGCAATTTAATAATTTCCAGTGATTTTGTAAGTAAAGAAACTCCTAACTATTGTACGGTCACCTCATATTTAACATTGTATGAATATGAAAAGCAAACAATGGGAAAATGCACAGTACAATGAAAATAGCTTGTTATTCAACACATACAGTAGATCTCAAAAACAAAGACAACACACTCAACCAGAAAGCTTAAAAATATCAAATCAAAACCTAAAGAGCCAGCAGGGGAAAAAAAAATCCTTCAAAAAAGACAACTGTTCTGCCTTCCTAGGCTGATGCTTCCCAATGGGAGAGGTACTGACACCTTCCCAGTCCTACAGGTGGTTTCTTCTACATACAGCAGGTAGATCTAGATGGCTGGATTTGCCAAGAAACAATTGCATGTCCAGAACTCTCTCTGTCAAACAAGATCCAAGATCCTCTTTTTTTCTTTTTTCTTTTTTTTACCAAAATACTTTCTACAGAATTCCAAACCAAAATGTACTGTATTTAAGGCATCTTTTTTTATAACATTTTCTCTTCACTCAAAGATGATAGTCATGCAGCAGTTTAATGATAAAAAATATATTAATATTTTACTATACAGCAGCAAGAAGTTAGTTGTCAATTAAAAGCACACAAACATCTTAAAATGAAAACCTGTAAGAGACTATCGTTACAAACAATTTCAGTGGAGGACACCAGCTTGGTAAAGTGCTCTCCTAGGCTTGCGTGTTCATACCCTACACTTTGAATATGAGTGATAATAGAACATACTTTTGACAGAAGGCTTGTACACTTGGGGAACACAAATACACTTAGCATATAATGTAGCCAGTAATAACTAGCACCACAGCTACATGGAAATCCTTTACATACACCAACTTGGCTTTCACTTTTAAAATGAAACTCAGTATCCATGGCTCAGTAGGATAACTATAATGGTGTTGCTTTGCTTTTAAACAGGTCTACATAAGTTAATAGCACTGGCAAAAATCAAAGGATAGCTTCAGACCTCTTACAAGTTTAGGAGACAGTGCTAGTGACCACAAATAGACTCACTACCTGATACCCAAGTACAGGTTCACTGGAAATTGCTGCACGTTAGTTAGGTTTTTAAAATCTTTCTACACATAATAAAAAATATATATTATGAACAATACAAGTACATCTCATATACACAATAATAACAAAACACCTACTCGGTCAAAGCAAACAGATGCAGAAAAATATTATGGGAAATTTCCTTTTTCCTTCTCCTTTTTCTTTTACTATTTGGATAACTTTGGTTCCAACCATAAAAATCACAACTTAGCAAATTTCATTTAAATGCCTTTTTTAATAATTTCTTCATGTTCACAGAAGTTTCACTGACCATTTTATATGTTTAAGGTCCAGATGCAATGCATATTGTATAAAAGAGAGCACTTATTGTTTACCTTGCATGAATTAAACCTACGTACCTTGAACTCTACAAACTTCTGCATAACATTTAGACAAAGCTCAGACACACAGCATGCCTAGCCCTCATATATATACACATCTCTAATCACAGGTATATAGGATGTCAAATATACTATAATAACCTCCATGTAAGGTTTGAAATTTGGTAACAAAATGAGAAAAACTAAAAATATTATTTTACGTGTTCTAAAATATCTCTTTTTTTGTGCTAAAGTCAAATGTTAGCTCAACATGAAAAGGACTTTTTATATAATTCAGCAATATTATAATCTTGACCATTTTGCAAACACTTTTAATAATAATAGCTTAAACGTGTACAAAAGTTCTTGGTTAATTAGGGAAATAAACACTCAGTTCTTTATATTTTTTAATCAAGTAGGAAACACAGTTCATATAATGTTATTACTTTTTGTATATTTTTTGTTTTTTGTTTTTAGCAGCTGCTTACTGTTTTATATGGTGGATAAAGTGGACAACATCCAGCGATGGGTGGCAAGTCAAGAAGAGAAACTGTCAGTTGGTGGAGGTTCTGTGGGTGGTGCTCCCTTGGAGTTTTAAAGTTTTTTTTTAAACTTTTTAACTTTTTATTTTTCTCTCTTTACAGTATATTTTCTCTCTGTGTGTGGCTGTGTGTGTGTGTGTACACGTACGTGTATGCGTGTGTGTGTGTTTGTGTGTGTGTGTTTCATTCAGTTTGATCAATCTTCTTCCCCTTCTTCCTCACCCTGCAGTAGCAGGGTGGCAGCGGTGGTCTCCTCTTGCTGCTGCTGCTGCTGCTGGTGGAGCTGCTCACAGGCGGCCCGCTTCTCCCTCTGCTTCTCTTGAATCTTCTTCATCTCCTCCGAGTACTTGCAGAAGGTGTGTCCGAACTTGGCCCACACCTTGTAGGGCACGGTGATGGAGTTGCGGTAGGTGGGCTTCACCTCACTGACTCGCATAAACACGCCGTACTTGTTGGAGCCCACATCGAAGAAGAAGCGCTTGTTGTCCACAGTCAAGGAGGTGCCCTCGGGCAGCTCGGCCGGCTCCTCCTCCACTCCATAGTCGTCGATGAGCTTGGCCAGAGCGTCACGGAACTCGATGAGCCCCTGCGCGGGCAGCGCAATGGTCTGGCCCTGCGTGGAGCCCAGGCCGGGCCCCCGGTTGACTGTCTGGCGGATGCGCAGGAAGCGGCCGCGCTGGTTCTCCTTGAGATCCATGTAGTACTTGCGGTTTTCGCGCACCAGGAACTCGCTCTTGAGCGCCCGGCGTGGCTCGTCCTGTGCCTGGGCCAGGTCGGGCGGCTGGCTGGGGCCCAGCTGCGCGTAGTGCTCGATGAAGTCGCCCAGGTAGTCGCGGAACTCCACGGCCACAGACATGGAGAGGGTGAGGCGGCTCTTGTTGCCGCCAGCGCCCACCTCAGCGATCTTGAGGAAACGGCCCTTAGCGTTCTGCTTCACGTCCAGGTAGAAACGCTTGTTCTGGATGTCCACCCGCTTGGAGGCCAGCTCCTGCGTCTCGTGCTGCAGCCCCCCCGGGGCCCCGCCGCCGCCGCCACTGCCGCCGCCGCCCCCGCCGCCACCACCGCCCCCGCCGGAGCCTGAGCCCGAGCCCGGGTGCCCTAGGGAGCCGCCCGAGCCCAGCGCCGCACCACCCTGTTCGCTGCCGCTGTCTCGGTCCGCCATGATGCTGCGCTCCGCCGCCGCGCCGCCGCCTGCCGCTCCGCCCGCCGCCTCAGTCGCCTCAGCCGCCGCTGCTTTCCCTCCCCGGCTCCGCCTGCTGCCGCCGCAACCCCCACAGCCAGTCAGCCACTCTCGCGAGATCTGCGGGAGAGACGAGACAGACGAGACCCGGTAACAGGGCACTGACTCCCCAGTACAGTAGCAGGGCGCCCTACTGTACGCGCCCACCCGCCCGCCGGCACGTGACTGCGCCCCTTCCCCAGGCCAGCCACCCTGCCCGCCTGCCCGCCAGGCGGCGCCCACCCGCCAGCCCTCGCCCTACACCCCTCTCTGGAGGGGGGAGCGCCGCGTCGCAGTTCTGCTGCCACCGCAGCCTCTGCCACCACCACCGCCGTAGCTACTACCCCTGTTGGCCAGACCCTAAACAGCCTCGACTTGTGAAGTCGGGGATGGGGACGGGGGGGTGGGGGGAACGGGGGCTATGCCGTATTAAGCACAGACATCAGGCCTGGCTCTGCTTTCCAGTGACCCCAAAGAGAGGATGTGGGGGAGGGGCCTTCGTAGCACAGCAGAGTAGGATGCAGAGGGGACACCGAGTCACGGCCCCCTTTTCCCCTGTGGGCCTGACCCAGACCCAAACCCAGACAGGGCCACCCGCCACCCGACAGGGCTGTCTCCTACCGCAGAGCCGAGGCCGAAGAGGCAGGCGAGGAAAAAGAGGTGCTGCGGTGGTAAACCCTTAGCTGCAGAAGGGGCTGCTGGGGATGAAGACCGGGCGCCAGCAGCAGTGGCGCGGAGCAGCAGACACCTAGCCCGTCCCTCCTCTCTCCCTCCCCTCGCTCCCGCCGCTCCCCCTCCCCGCGCACGGCAGCGGCTCTGGCCTCAGATGATCCCGCTCCCCCCTCCCCCCAACCGCAGCCCCGCACAGTCGGGCGGGCGCACTCACCAGCGGGGGGAGCTGGGCCGAGGACAGTAGCCGCACCAGGGCCGGGGTGCCTGCAGTGCCTATTCCCGTAGGCTATGCCCTTACTCTCAAAAAATAAAAATTAAAAAAAAAGGAAACCCACGCTCACCCAAAAACCTGCAACCAGCCCCCCCCCCCCCAGACTGCTTGGCTGCCTCCCCCCCTCCTTCTGAGATTTGGGAAGGGGGGCACCCTGCTTAGGGCTCAGCCCAGCCTGGGTTGCCGGCCAGCTCTGCAGAAGAACCAGGCCCTGCCGAGCATTCAGACCCCAGCCCACTCTTCTTTAGAAGGACCCAGAATGGAGGAGAAAACCCCATCAGGCTTTCGGAAATTCATGAACTAAAAATGTCAGGAATTTCCTGGGAAACGCAGTTCCTTACGGGATTCATTAAAGCAGGTTCGCTTATCCCTTTACTCTTCCGCCCAGAAACTTAAAAGTATCAAAGAGAACCCCCGAACCCCAATAAAATATTGAAGATCTCTTGGATTTTGTGCAGACAAACCATTATTGACCATTAATTAACCCATCAGTCTTTGGATGGTGATACCTTAAAGGGAATCTTCTGTGGCCATAGAAAGAGTTCCAGGAATAAAGATGGGACACGGAATTAAAAATGTTCTTCTTAAACTATGATCCATAATCTAGGGCTTGTTTCCCAACACCCAGACAGTGAATGCTCACACTCACTTCACTGCGGTGTGCAGCCCTGGCAGCTGTGGCAAAGCTAAGGCCTATTTCCAGAGGACCCTTACCAAGGACCTCAAACTTCAATCACTGGAGAGGAGACAGATCGTACAGCCTTACCCTGCCTTTTTCCACATAGACTTCTGCTTCTACCCTAGTAATGTGCCTATACATCTGTGACTTCCACACTCCTGCTGAACTTCTCCTCTCCTTCCACGATTAGGAGCTGCCTTCCCCACTTACCTGCAGAAACCAATAACTAATTACTTGCTGAGGCAGGGGGAATTAAAGTAAGGACAGTCTGGAGGCAGATATCTTTCCAGTCCTGAACGCAAAAAGCTCCTTAATATGGCCTTTTACTTTTGGGACAAACCTGTGTGCTGGTATTCATGTCTTCTGCATCTCTGTCTTCTCCCATCATTTGTCCCCAGCAAGAGCCCCATTTTACTTCACATTAGCTACATTCATGACTTCCCACTAAAGAGGAAGAAACAGGGCAAAGAACCCTGGCCACCAAAGAGCAAACCAGAGGAATACTGTGAACCTGCCTGAGAAACACGCACATGCATTCAGTGATATCTGAAAGAGCTACCTGAAGAGGAAGCTCAGTCTGAAACGGAAACCTTTGCTTTGGGCCTCACAAAGAATTTCTCCTTAAATTAGAAGCAATCTCTAGAACTACATAAGGCCTTTTCAGTACTGAGTTTTCTGCGCTCTCCCCTCTATCCGCAAGTCTGTTGGGTTAGGGGAAACAGGAACTTTCAGAGGATTTCCTACCACAAAATACAAATTCCTGAAGACACAAAAGTTCCTACATGGTCCCTGTAACAGTCAGGACCCTGGATAGACCCCGGCAACTCCAGTAACTTAAATGCTGAGTGACCGGGTATCTGCAGAGATCGGCCGAGCTGTGCTTCCAAGTGTGAACCGAGGAAAAGATCCAGTGAAGTCCCGATTTAGAGGGGCGGCTGCTCTTCTTCAACAGTTTACTTTACAAAGAACCAAGCCCTGCCCCCTAATGAGAGCTCAAGACAACAAGGCCAATGAGATTTTGATGAGGCCACCCGCAGCCAGTCCCTACATTCTTCCAGGCTTGGGGCGCCAAATTGCCTTCCCAGACTAACTTTGCAGCTTAAATTTCTTGATGTTCCAAATATTTATTTCCAGGGTTTGGAAGTGCCCTGATTTTCTGGGAGACAAGGGGGACTATCACCAGGAACTGACATCTTCCCCGGAGCAGAGGCAACCGATGATGTTTCTGGATAGAATACAAGTTAAACATCATTTGCATGCTTAAAGTGGGAATTTTAAATGAAAACCAGCAAATTACTGAGACTTCTCAATAATTATATGCCTGCTTTATACTAGTCGTTAATATGATTTCTACCTCTTTATATCTAAAAAGTAAAAAAAAAAAAGTGAAGATTCTCCTCTCAAACAATTCAATGATAAATTAAGTTGAGTAGCATATTTTTACTACTTCACAAAGAGCGTCAATTTTAGGGTAACCCTTAAATGTGGTTTTTCTCAGGCTAAAAGGTAAAAGGCGGCTTTCTTTAAGCTACCGATATGACATCTGTCTTCAAAGGCAGCAAAGAAGGAATGAATATTAACGTACAGGAAAGTCTTAAAATGTTTAGAACTTTAAGTTAAGATTTAGAAGTTTTATATGCATCCTGGCTTTGAAGATCTATAAGAAAACTGTGGACTTAAAGAGACTTTTAGCCACTCATTAACTACCTAAATATACTAACTGGATAAATGAAAGATCAGTTCTAGTCTTTGAATTTATTACTTCAATGCACAGAGCTGTAAAACTAACCTTATAATTTCATTACAATATAGGAAAGACTACAGAGAAACAAAATATAATATGCAACAAAGTATCTACATTAACGAAAAATTATCAAAAAGAAATATTCCCCTTTTACTCAAAATTTGCTTACATTTACCTGATAAAGGTTTCTATGTCATTTGAGCCCCTTTATTAACATTATACACGCACTTTAAAGAGAATCAATATTAAAAAATTTTAACCAGTACATATTTAACAAACTTACCCACAATTTATTATCATTACTACAAGGACACATTTTGAAACAGACCAAGAAGGAAAACAAAAAACACCACCTCAATTTTCCTCTGCCTGAACTACAGGTGATTCTGAAATACTGTAATTAATTTTTTTTTTTTTTAAAGAAAAGATCAGCACATAGTTATAAAATAAATTAGAGGAGAGGCTACTTCTGGGCAGTAAACTCTTGATTGTACAATTCCCAACAAAAACAACATGTTAATACTTTACAATGCACAAATTTCACAGCCCCCTAAAAGAGAACATTGGAATTTTATTCAAGGGCTACTTGGGTTAAACCAGACAATAATCTTCAATACTTAAATCACTATAAAACCAATCAGAATGTTAGGCTGCAAATGTTCAAAGCAAAGGAATTCCTTATCTCTTTATGGCTACGTACAAACAGAATTAAGAGACACTCTCAAGTAAATCTGACCATGAACATCATCTCACGAACTAGCATTTCACGAATCTTTTTAAAGAAGCTTTCAATACCCTACCTGTTTTAGAAAATTAGCTTTGACATTGTGTTAGTGTTTAGAATTAAAGTTATAAACTAAATATTCAAATTCAGAAAAGAACTATTTAGTGATCTATAATCCTTGCATTTCACAAATTTTTCATTTTTATCATATGCAGAAGAGTTAAATTTATCGCACAATCTAAATTCCATACAAAATTCAGAGAACCCGACATTTTATGTACCCCAAAGGTCCAAACAAAACCCATTCAAAAGTCAAAAGCTCTCTCTTTGTCTGATACTTAAATGGTTTTACTAGTACTGTACTCAAGGAATTGAAATCCGCAACTTTCTCCACACTCTAGTCGACACTCCAATTTTCAAAGCCACAATTCCCTTAAGTGTTTTGGGCGGGGGCAAAGGGGGGTCTCAAAGTAAATCAAAATTTTCCTTTTCCTCTGGCAGCCTACCAAAAGATGCCAAACCAAATCCAGCCTATTGTAAATCTTCCTTCCAAGGACATGAGACAGAAACATAGACACCGCTGCTACAAGATGCCTTAAAGCTCCTAGCTGGACAAAAACGTAAGGGGTCCACATCAGAACGAAACAGACACTCCAAGAGTCCCCTCAGAGACGACGGAAAAGAAGGTGGCATTTTTCGGGGAAAGGGGACGGCGGCCCCTAGCTCCGTTACACCTGGCTGGTCTCTGGGCCTCTCTCTACCAAAGTTCAGGCTTTTGCAGGGTCCCTTCCCCTACATCACAACCCACCTCTGGCCCTACTGCCGGCCTCAGAGGAGAGACCTAGCTTCATCCGTTCC